ACCCCCCTTCCCGTACCTAATTGTCCATGGCAGGACGTGAGTATGGATTTTGTTCTTGGTTTACCAAAGACTGTGAAAAGGCATGATTTGATTTGTGTAGTTGTCGACCGTTTTTCTAAGATGGCCCATTTCCTCCCATGCTCTAAAACTTTTGATGCCTCCCGTATTGCTAAGCTATATTTTGATGAGATCATTAAGCTTCATGGATTACCTAAGACCATCCTTTCCGATGGGGATGTCAAGTTTACTAGCTACTTCTGGAAAACCCTATGGCACAAAATGGGCACAAAACTTCAATTTTCTACAGCCTTCCATCCCCAAACCGATGGGCAAACCGAAGTGGTTAACAGAAGTCTAGGAAATCTTCTAAGGACGTTGGTAGGGGAAAACATACGGGATTGGGATTCCAAGCTTCCTATTGCTAAATTTTCTTACAACAACTCCGTCAATAGAACCACTGGTCTTAGTCCTGTCGAAATCGTGTATGGGTACCTACCCAGACAACCTATAAATTTGCTTCCCATGAGTCCTAGATTTAGAGTGTCTGAGTCAGCATCTGCATTTGCATCCCACATACATAAGTTGCATAAAGAAATTAAAATGAAAATTGAACAAAGTAACGCCAGTTACAAATTAATTGCTGATCAAAAGAAAAGGCTTAAAGAATTCGAAGTGGGAGACTTTGCGATGGTGCGAATCCGTCCGGAGCGTTTTCCTCCTGGATCCGCAAAGAAATTGCATGCGAGAAGCGCCGGGCCATTCAAAATCATTTCCAAGATAAACAGCAATGCTTATGTGCTGGACCTCCCCGAATGTTTTAACATCAATCCTACCTTTAATATAGAAGATTTAGTAGCCTTCGAGGGACCAGAGTTTAACCCCCGCAATCCACTTACAAATGAGCCTTGTGTGAACCCACCTAGTGAGATCCCTAGCCTACCTCCACTCCCCAAATTGCCCCATCTACCTAATGCGGAGAAAATAGAAACCATACTGGATGATGAGATCATTTCCACGAAGGACGGAGGACGACGAAGGTACCTAGTGCACTGGAAAGAGACACCACCGACAGAGGACACTTGGATTGATCGAGGGAGCTGCAGATCCTAGGCCCAGATCTCTTAGAGTTGTACGAGAGCGCTAGAGATACTCACTCGACGGGGTCGAGTTTTCTCCCACCTGGGGAGAATGATGAGGTCATCGACAGACATTTTAGGCAGGTCTACCGGCGAAGGAATCGTAGATCGACGGCTACGATTGGGAGCTTATATTTCTGATGTTGCCATGTCATTTTATGTTAT